TCTCTCTCTCTCTCTCTCTCTCTCTCTCTCTCTCTCTCTCTCTCTCTCTCTCTCTCTCTCTCCCCTCGTCGCTTTCTTCTTCGTGCCTGCAGTCTCCTTTGTTGCTGCGGTCTTCTTGATCACTATGGCCATCGTGCGATGCTGGCGCAGACAACGGGAACCAGCTCTGATACCAATGCAATCAGACAAGACTCAAATCGACTTTCAACAAGCATACATGCAGGTGCCGATGGCAAAACAACTTTCTTAAGGTAGAATCAGCAGCAAGAGTGAGATGGCGCACTACGCCCACACAGAAAACTCGAGAGATATGGTCCCCAGCCAGAAACTCAGTTCAATGTCAACTTGTCACAACTTGTGGCTATGGCGTCCGAACGCCAGTCTCAAATTCCCAACTGAACACTGTATCTACCATCAGCCCCCTCACACTCACTTCACACGCATGTACACACACACTAGGATCTACCCTGAATGTCCACACACACACACACACACTACTAACCACTATCGTCATCACACTGGCGGCTATGGCCACGGTTGTCTTCCTCCTCACTAGCGGCTATGGCCGCCGTAGTCTTCCTCCGCTAGCCCACTGCGTCACAGGGCTCCTGCAGACCTCCAATGCAGAAGTCGCACAAGCAGCACTTCCTTATGGCTTGCAGGTGAATGAATGAATGGCTGGCGCTGCCTCTTTATTCATTTATTTATACTGTTTCGTCGGTGGTCTGGCCTGCCGACGGTCCCAGGCCGAAGGTGTGCACATCCCACTTGGCACTTGCTGACTGGACTAGGTAGACGTAGGACTGGGACTGCCCTTTGATGACTTAGCTACGGACGACCGACTTCTACAGCTTCAAAGAGCCAGGTAGCGATTTCTAGAAACTCCTAGTCTACATTTGACTGACCCTTCGCTACTCTTAGGGTTAACCTACAGGACTGACCTAGGACTGCGAACACTAAGGTCTATGGTTCAAGGCCAAGCGACCTGCCTGTGCAAACAGCTCACACGCGTACGCCTTAGGGGACAGGTCACGGGTTCGAAACCCACAGGGGTGACGGGTAACTGTACACGGGGTACGGGGTAGGTCTAGGGATTGAGCCTTGGGATCTGCAATTGTCCTGCGAACTGGGTGAAACCCTTTCATAGGCAACTGCTCCTCAAATGTTATGCAACCCACACACTGACTGGGGTTATGTGCCATTCTAGAGTGGTCTGCCCCAGCGGTCACTATCTAGAACCCTGTCAGAACTCCACCTCCCATGTCCTTCCTCCCTCCTCTTGTGTATTACTAGTAATACATACGAATGAGCATCATTACGAGAACAGACAAAATAAGTTGAAGATCTGAGAAGAAATGAACAGGAATATACCTCCGTTTTTGCTCTGCCTCCTTTCATAGTGTGCAAGTGGGCCGTTATGGCACATGGGGATGTGGGCAGCTCGTGCTCAACCACAATCAACGTGGCGAGCCTTGTGCATGGGAGGAATGGTAAAGGGGGAGCTGCAACAACCAATGAAAGGGGTGCACCGGATAAAGCAAATGTGAACACATTCAAGAAAGGGGTTTACATGCAGCTCTTGTACTTCATATTGCTTGCTATTGAGGTGAAACTGTTTCATTGTTGGGTTGTCTGAACTCAAGGGCTTTCGTTGTCTGTAGTAGGATTAAATATGCTTTGATTTTGGGTGGAATAGGATCTGTTGTGGTGAATATTCAAAACACACACAGCCAACACACAGCTATCAGCAGCCAACTGTCAAAGTGTTGCCATGCACAGCTGCTCTGCGTGTGTGTATTCCCAAGCCATTGGACTGATGTTGATGTCTGGGCCACCCATTTTCCCAGCATCTGTCCTGTCTAGCTGCTGCGAATACCCGGTCCATCGGGCCTTACGCAGGTCAGTCCACGATTGCTACTTGGGAGGGGCGACCCATCCGCACCGTGTCATGAATGGTTGTGTACATGTCTCTCCCAAAAGCAGCTACCGTCACTAGAGGTCTGGAATCTCTTGAAAAATATAGGGGATTCCATAGGGACGTACAGGTAAGAGGACGTAGAGTTAATCTGTGAGCATTTATGGCTGACTATGCTGTGCTCTGTGTTTTCTCGTACTGTTGAGGTGTCCCTCCAGGGCTCTTTCGGCCGAGCAGGTACGTTGGGTGAAGCATTCCTCAATTTGGTGGACTTCGTGAAGCTATCACATGCTGCACAGAGGTCATTAGTGCTCAAGAATTGCTCCCATGGCTCTGTATTGCATGTGAGTATCTGCCCTTGAGACTCTTGCCCGTTCTCAAACTCTCCCCCCCTTATGTTTTCTTTGAATGGATTATCGGATTTGTCGAAAATGCATCTTTTTCAAGTTTTTCGCCCTTAGGTTTGTATTAATGGACTAATGGATTAGAGCTCTCTTTGTGTGTATTGTGGATAACAGTATGCCATTTTCTTTCACCATTGCTGTTACATCTTCGATTCACACGGGTCCTACCGGACCCGACTTAGGGCCGGAGGGACACACCAGGGCCTAAAGGCCCGACCTTTGGGGTTACAGGCCCTAAAGGCCTGATTATGGACCAGCACCCATCGGGTAGGCCCAAACGACACTTCGTTTGGGCCTGGCGGCGCTCTTGAAGCTGCCGCCCGCCGATAGAGGCTGAACCGTCCATCTGGA